TTACAGATACATTTTGGACACGATCATTGAGTATGGTACGTATTTATTTGTAAACCTGACTACATCAACAGATTTCATTTAAAATTAATACAGCGCTGAATGCTTACAACCGATGTATTTAATATTATGTGATTATGTACGTATGCATGTTTGTTTGTAGGTACACTTATATGTATGTATGTATGTATATTGTGGGAAATAACAAATACAATTGTAAATTTATAAAACATTGACTATTGGATTATATAGCAACTAATACAGTTAAAAACTTATCGCTTATAAAAATACAAAGGACATGCGAACCTATGACTATGCGTAAATATAATATAATAATATAAAATAGCTGGTAAATGAGTTTTGTTTGTAAAATTTTAGCTAATTGTTGTTCGTAAATTAATATTATTCACACACACTCAATTATATGTATATATAAATATTGATTTATATATATATATGTATAAAACCAGTGGCAACTGTTACAAATAAACATAGATCCGAGGAACAGAGGCAGAAGTCTCAGAGAACTCCCTTGGGACGGGACATTGGAATGCAGACGCATTTGCATTCTGTGCGAAAGTCTCGTTAGGGATTTCTTATGACAGCCCTGAATGAAAAATAAATATGGTCTCTATATCAGTACATAGCGATATATTCGTAAACATACAATACAATTTGTAAACTATGCCTATAGGTGATGGAGCCAGGTTGGAGCGTTAACAAACTTTCCTCCTTTGTTGTCGTCATAATAATCGATTACGTTTAATTACTCGTAACACCACACTAACCTAAGTAAAGAACATTGTTAATTGAACGGTGCAGCTAGATGAGGCCACGCTTCTTTTTGTAATCTTCCAGGTTCAGTGAACGCTTGGACACCGTCTCGGTTGGTTTGTTCGCTGGCTTGGGCAGCGCATTGGCGCTGTTCACTGCAATTGGAGGCGTGTTAATAACAAACTATTATTGGAACAAAGGTATCTGTTGGTAACTTACCTGGCAGCGGTACGTCTAGGTCTATATCAAAGTCGTGCAGTGAGTACAAGCTGTAATCCTTGCCATCTGTTGGCTTTGCATTGGAAGTGCTTGTTTCATTGGGCTTCTTCTTGCCTGGCAGCGGCGGCGGTGGCAACGGGGATAACAGCGACTCATCATCATCCTTTTTGGTGCCCTTAAAGCCCATGCGGGGCTGTGTAATGCGGCGCGTAAATGGATCTGATATCTTCATGCCTTTGTTTGCACGCGCCTCCTCCATGATGGCCTTCTCAGCGTCCTGCACATTGCGCTTACGATTGCGATCGTTTATGTAGGAAATCAAATTGAGACTGTGAGAACGTCGCTTGTCAAGCTCAGAGGCGCGAGTCTCTAGCTGATCGATTTGCTGGCCCAGATCGTTGGCAATATCGTAGTCGCCACGAAGCATAGCCGCATCGCGCTCCTTCATTAGGCAGGTCTTCTTCATGGCATAGTTGGTGGGCCGATTGCGGAAGCGATTCTTCTCCTCAACTATCTTGTCTACATCCTCGTCCTTGAACTCGTAATTGAGCGCCTTCTTAATATCGTTCGCCTTGATCTCAATCAAATCAATTGTCGGCGGGAGCACGTGCTGCTGCTGGCACATCTCAACCCATTTGTTAAACTCGGTTTCAGTGAACTCCTGATTAGATATAAACTCCAGCCGAAAAACGCGCTCCTGTGAGCCGTGCTTGAGACGCAATCCCCGATTGGTGCGTGTCGAGCCAAGTGTGTATATTTTGCCGGTCTCCACAACGCCCACGATCTCGGCCACCCGATACACGGGCTTCTGGCCATTGTTGCCAATGCTGATGCGCACAAAGCAGTTGACTACGGTGCTCTCAAATATGGGCAGATTGACGAAGCGCTCCATTTTGAAGCGGGAGAGCCGCAGCTTGTTAAGATCCTCGCGGGTGGTTATAAACACGGGGCTCTTTGTGGCCTTCTCGTCGTCCTCGGACTCGCTAGACGCCTTGCTGCTGTTCGAACGTGATCGTTTGCCCGCCGGCTTCTCTTCGTCATCCCAATCGCTGCTGCCCGAATCATCTGAGTAGATCTCTGACGCTTTCAGCTTGACCGCCGATTTACAGCCAGAGACGCTCTCCAGTTCCTCCTTATCATCATCTCTGTCGCGTTCTGCTTGTCGCTTTGCTTCCTCCTCCTCTGCAATTAAATTCGTTTTACTATGTATAGATTTTGTGGATCATTTTGTACTTACCTCGCTTGGCTTTGCCTTCACGCTTGGCTTTGAGCATGGCCATGGCGTTGCTGCGCTTGTCATCGGTTTTATTTGCCTCGACGTTCTTCTTGCGCTCCTTGGACCTCTCCTTGTGATCAAAGTAATCGGCCACGCTGCTCGAACTCTGCTCTTCAGCGTTTTTCTCGGCGCTGCTGCTGGTTGTACTGGACCCAGTGCCAGATGTCGATGGACCCTCGCGAATCGATGGTATGGGCGAGGGGCTCTTGGCCGAAGCACGCGCCTCTGGCGCACCGCTCTTGCTGGTATCTATGTCAGCTGTGGTTGCTGCCGGCACGGGTGGTGCCAGGTCCTTTGACTTTTTACTGCGTTTGTCCTTCTTGGATTTCTTCTTGGCACGCTCTCCCTTTGTCTTTGACTTCTCGTTCTTTTCGCCACGACGGGCGAGTTTGAGCTTCCGCTCAATCTCCCATCGGGTGCGCATAATGTCGCGCTGTTCAATACGCTTGAAGATCTCTGTTTCGCGCTCCTTTTCGGACAGTCCATTCAGCCGTTTGCGGTCCTCTTCGTCGCCCATCAAATCGTCATCGTAGCCGTCATCAAACTCTGAATCGGAGCTAGACGATGACGAGCTAGATGAATCCGATCCAGAGGGAGAGCCAGACGTCGATGATGATTTCGATTTGGATTTCTCATTTTCAGAATCGCTGTCGGACACCTCGCCCTCCTCCTGTTCACTTTGAATGTCTGGCTTCTTGGGTTCGGGCTCGACGCGCTTTTCCACGGGCGCTGCGACCTCATCCTGACTGTCGTCGTCCCAATTCTCCTCGGAAGAACTCGAATCTCTGCTTGTTTTCTTCGGACGCTTCTTTTTTGAGGCTGGCGCACTTGATTTATTATTTGCCCAGTCCGAATCTGAATCGGACTTTGAGTTCGGGGCTTTTGTGGCATTGCTTGGCTTCTTTCTCTTTCTGGCCAGCGACAACAAGTCCTGCGTGCAAAATATATATAGATTTTTACAATAAAATGCTGCGCATTGATTTGTTACATCGCGCAAATTTTACAAAGGCGTCCTTCCACATTTCTCACGCATAACTCACCGATTCCAAGTTGGTGTCCGCGTCGCTATCACTATCGCTCGAATTTGAGTCGATTAGAGACTGCGTACGACGTTTTCCCATTGTAATTTAAGTAAAATTTGTGCCAAACAACGAGTTAACCTGCAAACAGTGTGAAAATAAATAACTAACATACATATATACAGCGACAAGGGCTTAACATTTTGCTCAAATGTTATTAACAGCAAGCATTCATTTCTTCTCACATAAACTGCGGTTAATAATGTAAAATTAAATATAAATATGCATTTTCGTATAAAATGTTGTTAAAAATAGATTTATAGTAATTATATAATATATTCTGCGTCTAATTTAATGCCAAAACATAAAAAACGTTTAATCTAAATTTAACAGCTGCCAACTTACTCCGAATCGTTGTCTCTAACATTAAATATAGTGCCTTAACAGAACTCCAACATTGCGCGGGTGCCTATCGATTGTTAATTTTAATAATATTTTTCCAAAAATATAAGCAGCTAATTGGATTTAATTTGATATTTGAAAAATATATCGGATAATTACAATTTTGAAAAGAGAAAAATGTATGTTTATGGAAACAATAAAGGAACATCAACTGTGAAGCCACCGATAATATGTCCTTTTACAACACTTGCAGCCCGAAAATCACATTGCCTGATCTCTAGTATCGTTAATCGATATGTATGGCTGTGGTAAGCTGGTAGCTATGAAACATTGGCGCGTTTTCAAATTTGTAGGTCTCATTAATTTACATGGAAAATTAAATCGAAATATTTATCTGTAATGCACTATATGCATTATACGACTGCATTTTAAAGCTTGGTCAAAGATCGACTCACCCGTGTGGTTGGCGGGCACAAGAATAACCACCACAGTATGTCACTGCTTGTCGTACGAGGCGACTAAAAGAGACAAATTCCTGGAGCCTTAAATCTCCTCGAAGATAGCTTCGACTTATTATAAGGAGTACAGGTGTAAATTTTCGCTTTATTTGTTATAACTTATGTAACTTTTTACCATGTAACCCATGTTATCTCACCTATGTAAACACACTTGGTACAGGGTATACAAGTATTTATATTGCAAGCGGCTTGCGCAATATAACTGTTCACATTATTGTTATAAATTATACAACGATAATTGAGTTACATTAGTGGCCATTTGTGGCAGGTCCCTAATAAATGAGCCAAGTACGCAGCCTCCGAGCGCACATTGTTACACATTACCGCTGACTGTAAAGAGACACCTAACAATATGTGTTTGTTCGAGGGGAAGGTGGTGATATAAATTACTGGCGACGTCAAATTAAGAGAGAGAACTCAAATTAAACAGGTGTACATTCAACATCGTACATTGACCGCTTCCGACAAGTGCGCTCTTAAAAGTCAGTTGCCGGATAGTTAGAACGCAAACAAGTTTGAGTTGGACGGTGGAGAGATTTGGTTCGAACAAGATGTTGGTAAACATACGTTAAATTTCTTTCAACTGCAGATCACACACTTTCTGCCCCAAAGAAGTGCTCTTCGGTGCTCTTCTCTTATATTGAGTTGCTCTTCTATTGCGGCCATATGACTGGAGTGGTCCGTTCCGTTCCCCAAGAGCACCAAAGCAAGCTGCGTCTGCAGAACTTCTTTTTTCTAACTTTTATAACAAGCAACTGCAGGAAAAACTTTAGTTCTGCGTTAGCCATCGTTTGGATGAGTTCGGCTTTCTGTTTCTGCACCGACTTGAAGTGAAATATAAAATAAAATCAATATTTGTGATCGGTCTTGTTGTAAGTGTTTGCAAGGTTGGGACACACATTACACACATCCCATTAAGCAGATTATGAGATTTATGACGTTATAAAGTAAAAGAATACCAAAAGAGAAACCAAGTGCAATACGTAAGGTAAGTGACGCAACTAACCAAATAGTTAAGCTAGGTTTATAAAGGAATCGATAATTAGGACTATTGTTTAACAAGTTAATCCAGCTAAGCCTCTTTTATATAGTTGTCATCATTTGAACCAACTTTGTTTACGGTCTATGCACAATTCTTACATATGTGCATATATTATATTCATATTTCTATGTAAATTAACAGCTTCGGCAACAATAAAAACAAAATAACAAAAAACCATTACCCATACCTTAAGAATAAAAAAAAAAACCATTACACTTACTGGAGGAATGACTAAGAAAAATCACAAAAAAGATGTTAACCGGTTTGTTCGAACCGCAGCGACAACGGCGTCGGACATCTCTCGAATGGGATGGGAAGGGATGGGATGGGATGGGAGGACAGGAGGCAGTGCATAAATGTGGCAAAGAAAGATTCTGTAAGACACTAAACTAAACTGTAAGACTGCAGTGGGAAAAAGAGCGGCAGTTAAGTTGGCTAAGAGCTAAGAAAGAAATAACATAACATAAAACACACATTCAAAGCAGCAGCATACGATTTTTAAATAAAAATCAACAACTTCCGTCCAAACCTTTAATGAACGGTTGCATTTTCCAGTTATATTCCACAATGGGATAACAGTAGGTTTCCAATCGTGGGTTTGCCTTGATTAAAACACAGCTATTCGGTTGCATGACCACGAATTTAGCTCTTTATAGAAATAACAGTAAATCTAAATTAATTATATTATGGTTCATTAGCGTTCTCATGTTAAAGATTGAGTTATTTACCATAATTCCAAGATTGGAAGGAATATCTTCAATATTAATGAGGAGCATTTCATTTTCCAGTCCAACTCAGCCTCGTTTTTAAGTTAAATCAACTTCTAGGGAATATACCTTTATATATATTACTTACAATATTTCTAGCAAAAAGATTAATTCTTTAGTTATTTATCATAATTCCAGGAGTGCTGGAAGGCATGTCTTTTTTTATAGGGTTCATTTTGTGTTCACTCTAACTTAGCCTCCTTTTGAAGTGACATAAACTTAGAGGGATAAGTTCTTCATATTACTTGCAAGTATTTAAAGAACAAGATTAGGTCTTAGTTATTTATTATATTTCCAATGGAAGTAATAGTTTCCATAGCAAAACGGTTCAATTTGTGTTCATTCCAATATTGCTGGAAGGACCATCTTCATTTATACAAGGTTCACTTTGTTTCCATTCCAGCTCAGTCACATTTTAAAGCAAAGCTTACAATTCCAGAGTAAGTCATCAGTTACTTATCATTACTCCAATAGGGATGGAAGGAATATCTTAAATATTAAAAATGATTACTTTGCTTCCATTCCAACTTACAATTACTTTTGGTTTTATTCATGGTTCCCTTGGCCAAAAATTCTCGACTATTTCTGCGCACATTCAAATGCGGAAATTCGAAAGATAAACAGAGCTCGGTAAACTTAACGGGTTTTTTTGTTTGGTAACTGCGTTTTGGGCTGGCCAATTTCTTTCTTCAATTTCGATCATAAATTAGCTGTATAATTGGCCGCTAACACCTAAAGAAACAGAAAAACTAATAAGTGTGTCAACAGGCAAACTACGCACACATATGTAGAAATCAACTTGAGCTGAGCTTGGGTGTTAAGACCAGCGACTCGTAGATGGAGATACTACGGACTCAGGTGGGCATTCTTATATTATGTGGTTTCAGCCAGCAGCACCGTTAAGCATCCGAAGATTTGCCAGTGATAAACGCCTATTGAAAATTCCGACTACTGCATGACACAAATAATCGAGCCGCTCGGTGAATGAATCAAATTGCCCGACCTCGCAGCATGCAGAATAGAGAGAAAGTTCTTTTAACGGGTTTTTTTTCTACTTCTTCTTCTTCTTTCGGCTGTATTGATTTTTTGGCCACGGTGTGGAGTTTAAAATGACATCACGCACAGACAACTATTCAAAGTCTATTTGTATACCCTTAAATTTCAGGTAAATAGAGCTCAGTTCCTTGAATTCTAGAGCCGAGATTACGGCTCTCAGACCTGGAGACTGCGGCAGCTTGAGCCTGGCAAGGTTTCTCGGCCAGCATAGGCTGGGATCCTGCATATACTGGACATATATACATACATAGACACTCCCCGATTTGGAGCATATCTTGGCTATTATAAAAATTCACATTAGGTTTATTTCATTTTTCGCACCTATTCCCGCTCACACCTTAATTAAACAACCCATTTTCGAGCTGTGCGAAAGCGGAGCAACAGCCTCTGCCCAAAGTGCGGAACTTGCAGCATGCGAATGTTGTCAATGTATGTGTGTATGTATGCATGTGTGTGTGTGTGAGAAACTATGAATGTATGCTATGACAATTCGCAGCTGTGTGCAGGGTATCTCATAGTCACCCGACTGTCTATGGGTCACTTCAACTGGCAATACCCTGCATCCGTATGTATGACCATGTTTATAGATGCATATAGATCTGATTTGTTAATTGGAGAAATTAGATAAGTTGGGAGTAGCATACGATCTTATGAGAAACCACAACAGATCTGTGCAAGGCAAGATGAGATGATAAGCAAGAAGAGCTGGCACTCCTTAAGATCGGGTTAGCCTAGTATAAATTCTTCGTCAACAGAGCTGAGGATCTTTTAGAAACTCTTCATATATAGTATATGATGTTCATTATATAATACCATAAAGAAGTTAACAGTCTGAATCCGGATATGTTATAGAATACAAAAATGGGTTTGGGAAATACGAGTTTTGTAATATGAGAAAACGGAGAAAGTTATTAAAATAAAAATATGATGAAAGCGTAAATAATAAAAATAAAAATAATAAAACCATAAATAATTATATAAATAAAATAAAAAATTAAACAATTAATAATAAATAATAATATAAAAAACAAATTACAAAAATAATAATAAAACAATTAATAATAATGATAATAACAATTATAATACAAATAAGAACTATCAATAAAAATAAGATCAGATCTGCCTGTTACATGCCTGCACACAGCTTGACTATACCCTTTCGATAGGCGCAGGGTATACAAATTGACCTCATTATCGTGTGGGTTTTCTGAGCATTTGAAAGAAAAGAAGAAAATAAAAAAAAAAAAGGCCAAACAGATGACCACGTCGTGCGCGGTTAAAGTGTTGGTGAAATTGAACAAGTGAATCGCGGCATACCAATTCGTGTGCTCTCCGGTTGGGTTTTAAGTGCGCCATAAAAGGTTATTTGCATATGGATTGAGACTGTGATGGATTCGACGATAGCACAGCTTGTAAATAGAATAATGATATGCTTATTAAATGGAGCTTACGACAGGCTGCAAGTCTATCTATGAATTAAATATAACTGGCGGCGCGCTGGGCTTTTGGGCAAAGAGCCGGTTTTTCTTTTCTTTACTTACTTTATTTATTTTTGGTGAAATTGTTGTGTCTAGGTGTAGCTCTGGGTAGGTGTGTGGCGCAGGTGAGTATCAAATACCGTTGCGTCGACATTGTTGCCAATGAAGATTAGGGTGCATGGCTTTCTGGCCAAGAGGCTGGGAGCTTTTCTTAGCCACATTGCGGCATTTGCAGCATGCAATTTTCATGTTTAGCCTGCGCGATGCACGCCACTGTAAACACACACACACCTGTGTGTGTGTGCGTGTGTGTGTGCGTACGCAGTAAAATTCACTGTTAGAATAACAAGTTTTTCGACCTGTGAGTTCAATTTTTTAGTGAATACTATGCGAGATGGTTTTTTAAGAACTGTTACTAGCGCTAGTAGTCGCTGGCCAGCCGTTGCGCTTGGAAAACTCTGCTAATTGGAAATGAGACGCTTAAAAGCAGCCAAAAGAAAACTCACCTAATGCATATGTATGTGCCTGCCTGTGTGTGTGAGTATGTGTGTTTGGATAGTAGCTTATTTTTATGGGTAGAGAGGCGTTTATTACTTAAGCCTGTCAGCCGCACGAGTTTCTCGAGATCTATTTTAAGTCGGGGCATGCTTTTGGTCTAACGAAAATCGAAAATCAAAAATCGTCTTTAAAGTTTATGCTTTGAGGCGACTTTTTTGGGGAAAGTGAAATTCGACAGACTTGTGCTCGCTTGTTTTCTAAATATATAAAAGTATTTAATTCGGAGCAAAACACGTTTCGACGTCTGAAATTTGTGCGGAACAAAACGACAATTCCGACAAAGAACCGATAAATATCGATTGTCGAACGAACGCACAGTTAGATTTAATATCGTAAGCTTTGAAGAGCCCACAGGTTTTATGTAAATATTTACTTATCTATAGACAAACGTATTTAGAGTACCTTCTCGTGGAGTCAACCGAGCCCTTCGCTCCGTTGTGTTTGACTTGGCTTTGTGTCGATGGAAAATGTTGAGAAAATCTACGAAAGTTCACAACCTTTTTATTATGTTTTGGAGCTGGCAACTATCAAGCATAAATGCTGGCCATTAAGTTGGCAACTGAGCAGGCACAGTTTCGGCCAGCGAACCAGAACAAAAGCCCAGGTCACTCACTCCCCAAAGAGGTAATTGACTTTCCTCGTACTCAATAGTCCATGAGGTCACTTACGTGCCCGCTGCCCGCCTGTTATGAAATATATATGCTACAAACTTCTTGGGGCACAACGAACCCGCCCAGAATTGCGACTCTTGCGGAGTGCATATCATATTAATTATATGGCTCTCGGCCATTCGCAAATAAATTGATGTGTATCGAAAACGTTTGCCCAACAGAAATTCAATCTAATTTCTGTTAGAGCGCAAAGTCTTTTAGCTTAACTTACATTTAAGAGGTCTTCTTTCTTATCCTCTCTATGTAATCGTTGAATATATTTAATTATGCCAATAGTCGCTCTTAAACTGTGTGAGTTCTTGCTAATTCTGGTCCGGAAGTGGGCTTCAAATCTGGCTCGTTCGTGAATGAAGGAAGTCTGAAATCTAGCTGCCAATATTTGCCCTCTTCCACGCCCCTCTTGGGTGAATGTGGCCGATATATGAGAAGTTCGCCCATTGAAAGAGGTCATTCGTAATCTGACTGCCAAATGGAGAAAACAATTTGCGGGTTTAAGCTGGTCTCTCAATGGGCGTGGCTATAGATATAATTCAAAACTTTTTCTATTTAGAGTTTTAAGCTTTCGAACTGATTTAAGGAGAATTAATATTGCTCTGTAAATAGATTACATTTTTAAATATAATATAGCATTAATAACCTAAGGCTTGGATGGCATAGCTTAAGACAGTTTGTGTATACTTCAGTCAATAACTTTTAAGAGGTTGTTCGTATATGCTATAGACATATATATATACAATTTAGTTCACAAGAAGCATTCCCTGATATTTATGTGTCCTTTTAGCCATCAGTTGAATAGTCAGAATGGCCAATGGACTGTTTAGCAAAACCTTTTTGCAACCTTTTGCGATTGGAGTGCTGCTGCTGTGCCTGACTCAGTCTCGGGCTCAAGAGTCGGCGACGGTGGCCACCACCACATCTCCCGATGAACTGGCTGATCTCGGCGAGCAGAGCACAATAACTGCGATTCCGGAGACAACGACAGAGGTGGGCATGACAGTCGACATAGTGCCAGCCACCGAGACTGAGAATCGAAACGCGGGCTTTGATCTGTCGGCTGCCATAGAGGCGGAGTCCAAGGACGCAGTGCATCTAAGCGAGCAGGAGCTCTTCTTGAAAAATGCGCTCTGTGAAACGGATAAAGTTGGCTTCGAAATTGTGACTGGGTAAGGCAGAAAAAATCAAGTTAATGAACGAAAGATATTCAATTTTAATTAAAAATCTGACAAATGTCTTATTTTTCTTCATTTTTTTTTTTAGTTATGTATTTTCCGCTCCTGGCAGGCTTCTGGATTCCCTGCCTGGCACTTTGATGCTAACAGATTGTCTCGCAACTTGCCTGAGGAATAAAACCTGTCAGTCTGTCAACTATGAGACTGGGCTCTGCGTGCTATTTTCAGCGCATGCCGATCAGCTGCCAGGTAAATCATAAATAACAGATATTTGCATATTTAAACAGTTTTACAGAGCAAATCTTGATCACATATATTATGATTCATGTATCTTCATTTGGATTTCAGGCGCCTTGACGAAATCGCAATTTCCGGTTTTCACAATCTATGCGCAGAAGTCTTGCCTCTCCGCGAAGCCCTGCTCGCGGGCCTGGTTCGTCGACCGTGTACAAAATTATAGGTTGAAGTCGGAAGTAAAACGCAGCGTCCCAGTCGGTTCCCGGCGCGAATGCTTCGAGCTCTGCCTGAGCGAAACGGAATTCACGTGCAGGTAATATGGGCTTTCATTAATATACTCATTAAACAAAGGATTCACGGTTTGAACCAGCGACTCGCCTTAATTTCTGTTCGCCATGGTTGCCACATCTATGAAGACAGCTTTCAATTTAAATAGTTCAAAACTATTGATTACGACTGACTCTGAACAATTCGCAGATTGTAAAACTCATACTCTCAGTGTTTCACACTTCTAACATGTTCCAGTGATATTCGAAATTCCACCCGCAACTGCGGAAAAATTGTGGAAAACGGTCATTTAACTAGTTACATAAACATAACTTTAAGCTTTATTATAACAAATCGTAGACTTCAGTATAACATTGTTTCCATGCTCCAGCGATTTTGGAAATTCTGGATTCACCGGAATCTGTGGAAAATTGGCGGAAACAATTTTTTAATTAGATAAATAAATCGTTCAGTTTTAACATTTTTTACATTTTTAACTTCAAGTTTTCTACTTTTAAGCTTCCTAGACTTTTTCTTTAAAAATCTTAGAGCTAATTGTAAAAGGATTCGCAGTTATATTCTGATTATGATTATTCCCATGTTTGACATTTTTCAGATCTGCGAACTTTAAAAAAGCATCAGGCGCCTGCGAGCTGAGTGAAATGGATCGTTCGACATTGGCTGGCACGAATGCCTTCCAGATCACGGAGGGCACGGACTATCTGGAAAACCATTGCATCGAGGAGCCAAACAAGCTGTGCGAATTCAAGCGATTGCCCGGACGCATCCTAAAGACGGTCGACTCTGTGTATCAGGAGGTGAGCAGCGTGGATGAGTGCCGCGAACTGTGTCTCAATTCGCCCTACAGGTGTGTGCACATATACGATACATTTGAATGAAAATAATTATTATTATTCCTCATTCCCGATAGATGCCACTCGTATGACTACAACGATACGGGCGACATGGTCTGTCGTCTGTCGCATCACAGCCGGGCAACGCTGACAGACGTGCAGGATCCCTACCTGGAGGTGCCGGAGGCATCCACCTATGAGCTCGCCTCCTGCTACAACGTGACCATCGAGTGTGGCGGTGGCGACATGCTGGCCCGCATACGCACCTCCAAGCTGTTCAGCGGCAAGGTCTATGCCAAGGGTTCGCCAAGGTCGTGCGCGGTCGACGTGCGCAGCGCCTTGGACTTTGAGCTGCGCATGAACTACCATGACCTGGAGTGCAATGTGCGCCAGAGCCAGAGCGGGCGCTACGTGAACGATATTATAATACAGCATCATGACATGATTGTCACCTCCTCCGATCTGGGCCTGGCGCTGGCCTGCCAATACGATCTGAGCAACAAGTCTGTGACCAACGGGGTCAACTTGGATGTGCGCGGCGATCTGACGCCCGCGCTCTCGGAGGAGGTCATCGTGGACTCACCGAATGTCATTATGCGCATCACCTCACGCGACGGTTCCGATATGATGCGCTCTGCCGAGGTGGGCGATCCGTTGGCCCTGAAATTCCAAATTATGGACGAGCAGAGTCCGTACGAGATTTTCGTGCGCGAACTTGTCGCCCTGGATGGCGTGGACAATTCGGAAATCACGCTGATCGACTCGAATGGCTGCCCCACAGATCACTTCATAATGGGCCCCATCTACAAGAGCGATGGCTCCAGCAAGGTGCTGCTCTCCAACTTCGACGCCTTCAAGTTCCCCTCCAGCGAAGTTGTCCAGTTCCGTGCCCTGGTCACGCCCTGCATGCCCAGCTGTGAACCGGTGCAATGCGATCAGGAGGACACCAGCGGCGAGTATCGATCCCTGCTCTCTTACGGACGCAAGCGTCGATCATTGAATGCAACAGGTGAGTTTGGGATTATAAGTGGAATGTGCTTGGATTGTCTTTAAACACGTCCAATATTTCTTTTAGCTACCTTCGATATGCGTCGGAAACGAGAGCTCAATGCGCCCACAGACATGCTGCTCGTGCAGTCCATACAAATAACTGACAAATTCGGCTTCGATGAGCAGCAGAGTCGCAAATCCAATATCGGCGGTTACTCGGAAAATAATGAAACGGAGTTTACAACTGCCAGCCCGGGCCGCGGTTTTTGTGTGAATGCCTTTGGTAGGTATTACTCGTTAAAAAGAGTCCAATAATTATAAAGATTAATATTTGTACGTAAGCAGATTGTCTGTTTAGTTATTTCAAGAATATGCAGACTTATCGTCGCTCTCATTGCAAGCGCCTTATGCCCCTTTCGCAACTTGAACTTGTTGGGAATTACAAGCGTCAAGCAACGAAAGAAGCCAGAGGCTTTTTTCTATGTTACACTGGGCTCATTCTCTCCACCCATACGCATAGTTATATTATTAATAGTAGAGGAAAGTCTAAACTCTATAAATATCCTATCTTCTTCTTCTAGGACTCATCACGGCCGCGACATTTTTCCTACTTACTCAACTGGCTATCATTGGCATTTGGACATTTTGCTATCAGCGCCGGCAGAAGCTGCAGTCGTACCAGCACTCGTATTAGTTCTTTCAGATTCGCCCTCAAATCGAACAAGTTAATTTCGGGAGGTGCGAACCAGAGATAACGGGATACTATATATATCTACTTGGGCTGCCTTAGAAATTGGTCTTGTCTAGTCAGTGCTCGATTTGGGTGTAAGATAATAAAAATAGAAATGTCGCGGATTGTTTGTTGGTTAATGGATACTTTAATGTCAAAAAACAATTTACATATATGAATTAATTTTTTACTTGATCTATTATTAACATTGATTTCCACACTTATAAAGGTAGTTCGATCTGCGCATTGAACTCCCTTTGTGACTTCGGAAATGGGCTTTTTTAGTTGCTGGCATTTGAAATCGAAGTTAAACAAACTGTTTTTAATTAACTCTCTTTAATTTACCGATTAGCTTAGATCAATGAAGAATTTTCAACCAGACATCAGATTATTTATTTACATTTATTTATTTATATTTTCATATATATTTAATATGTTTATTTTATATACAATACATGAATTATTGCCGATATGTGTACTTGATTTAATTAAAATAAAAATTGCCTTAAAAACAATATGTTGACTGTCAGCTGAACATATCACATTATAAATTTGTGATATGTCTTGACATACATGTTAATTAATTTTCCTGGCAGACTGTTAAAAGTTCAAAGCTAATCCTAAAATATTTTGCCATCAACTCAAAATAGCCAAGCACTAACTAGGCAATGTTTGTCTCAATTTAAGTGAGTATAATTATAGTAAAAAGCAGAAAATATGATTATGTGTAGACACGATTAGAATCAACATCCGATTAGATCTTGACCTACTCCGATGACGGCGCACTTTTGGCACAGATCACAACTCCGTCGACCGCCTCGAAAGCTGTCTACGGGATGGAATGTGGCCATTAGCCAAGTCGAATCAGCTTGTGCCATCTCTTTGAAAAAGAGATCAAAAATGTGAAAAACTATGCTGCTGAGCTCAAGGATTGCATAGGAGACCTCAGCTGACCTTGAGGCATTCATAGCTCACATCTGGACTCAGCCTTAATTGGCCAACTCAGATCAACTTTAAGCCGGAATACCGGAAAGACGCGCACAGAGGATGCCGCGCAGGAAGATTCCATTACGACCCATATAAAAAATATGAGAAGCTATTTTTAGTTTTCTCGCGTAATGCGCTAAGTAATTTCTTGACAGGTTGAATGATGATCTTCCAAAAATAGAAGTCAAGCCTAAGCCAAAAAAAAGTTGCACAGTTTTAAACTCACAAGCTTAGAGTCACAGTTTGATGGTCAGCCACAAGGCTCTAACCCGTCTGTTTTGAGACATACTTAGACAGGGCAACAGATTATTGCCACAGCACAGCAGTTAATTGATATACTCGCTCACAAATTAAAAGGAGTATATCGGTTTTATGCACTGTCCGTATGAAGTAAGAGACTTAAAGCTTGGAATTTATGCGCTTGTATAACCGCTTCAGATAATGTAGTACACTTTATGGAAAATCACAGAAATTTATATCTTCCGCCGTTTTAGAGAGCGAACGAGAGAGAGAGAAAGAGAGAGATAGTGTTTAAATTGTGAAGCTGCTCTAGAGATCACTCTAGCTTAGATTGATAACTCTTCACGAATCTATATCCTCCACAGTTTTAGAGCCTTGCCTATGTGTTTGAATTGAGAATGAAAACTATGGATGAGCTGCTTAAAATATCTTTCTAAAAATCGATTTGCAGCGTGGCAGATCGTTAAGATCATGGACCTATATCTTCCACAGTTTTAGAGCAAGTGACCGAATTGGGAGTGAAGACTACTGATGAGCTGCTCTGAAGATCGATCTAAAAATATTTTGAACTTGCCACAAGTACGATCGTTTAGATCTATAATTCTTAATAATTCCATATCTTCCACAGACTTAGAGCTAGAATGTTCAAATTGGGAAAGAAGACTATTGACGAGCTGCGCCAAAGATCAATCTATAATTCTTTTGTACTGGAGCTTGGGAGATCGGTTACATCAAATACGCTTTATAAACCTCTATCTGGGAATGAAGACCACTAATGAGCTGCTCCAAAGATTGATCTAATAATATATTGTACTCGAGGCATGTAGGATCGTTAAGATCGACAACTCTTTGTAATTCTATACTTTCCACAGAAGGCTAATGAGGAACTGCTGCAAAGATCGAGGCATGAGGATTGCCTGTTCAAGCTGTAACTGGACTGTGAAAGAGTATTGGGCAGTCGTGGACACCCGGCTGCAACATTGCTGCAAGTTCTCTCTGCTTTTTGGCATTTTATTTCTGTGGACTAACATCGATCGGTTTATAACGATGCGTGCTAATGTGAGAGACATAAGGCATAAATCTGAAGTACAAATCTGAGGTACATTGTCATCTCAACGCTTGCATGTTGCAACTAATTAAAAAAACTTTCCTAATTTTCTAATTTAAGAAGCGCACTGACAACGACAACGACGACGACGACGACCTTTTATCATTAATTGCAGCAAAGTGCTTAGAGTCAGTGCGGAATTCATGAGCGGCTCCTCCGCAATGTGTATATAGGCGTATTTATTGCTGTTCCTAACGTTGTTTTCGTTCTTGTTGTTGTTGTTGTTGTTGTTTTTGCTTTGTAAGTGAATTAATTGAGATGAATGCACCTAACTGTGCGAGGCAGCGGGCGTGTGGCGCGAGGTCCAGCCCAAGCCAGGCCAGCCCAGGCCAGACCAGACCAGACCAACCAGGCCCGATCCGATCCGAGCAGACAGCAGTTACCTTCTTGAATGTGTGCTTGGTCTTCCAGCAGATAAAGATACAAATCTGCACGAAGCCTGTTTCCTGTTGCACTGAGGGTGCATTAATTTGCATGATGCACACCATCGGCTCCAGCCAACGCCACTTATTTACGTATATATATATACAGATATATATATATATATATATATAGAAATTTCTGCTGGTGCTTGAAGCAGGTGCGCAACAGTTGGCCGGCCGCTGGATGATAATGGCAAGAAGCGTCGCAATGAGTGGAACGTCCAACCCACATCTTAAAGTGAATCGTTCGTTGCCTCTGCATCATGGTGTCGCCAATAATAACGCTGCCGGAGACTGCACATATTATTTTCGGGTTGCTTCAAGTGGGCGTTCGCAGTCGCAGTCGCGTTCACGTTCGCGTTCCAGGAACCTCTTCAATTTTCATTTACAGTTTGCTGCTGCGTGCTTCGTTATTTTACGAAAAGTAAATAGTTCTTAATTGCAATTGTGCGCGCACTTGATCGGACGCAAAGAAACTTATATAAATACCTATTTCGGAGTTTTCAGATTCTCCTGCAGCAATTTTCGTTGGTTCGGCTCACGCTTCATACTAATGGTTCGAACCAAAGGTTCGCTGGTTCGGTTCGCACTTCATACTAATGGTTCGATTCGTGAACCGGTTCCATCTATATTATATGTTTTGGTTCGAGCCTTGGTTCTTTAAATTCCAATTGAACTATTCAATATAAATTGTATTTATTAATCAAACATATTTTCTATAGTTTACTTTTAATATAAGAAAATAATCATTGTGAACCAAAAATTATTTTAAAAAAAACCGGTTCGGTTCAGCCTGAGATTCGGCTGTTGTTCTTTCTAGCCAACTAAAACGGTTTGAGATTCGGTATATGTTGAATAAAAATCTTAAATTCCAGTTTCAAACCGGTTCGCTCTGAACCCGGTTCATATAATTACAGTGCCTGCCAGCTGTTTGCTCAGTGTAGGCAAAAATGGCATTGATGTGTTCTCTAAATTCCATATACACATGCATGGTGGGCCCTGCTGCTGGTAAACGATCTCATGAGATTGGACATCGCAGTGGCAACTGTCGTGCCAAAGTGAATACATTTCTCAATAAAAGGGCTGCACGAATGTGTCCCTGTCGAGTGACTGTGGACTGTACCTGCAGAGCAATTAGATTTCTGCACCTCATTATCCACACGAAAAGCATTCTCGTGCTATTAAAAAATTACTTTTCTCAAGTGTACCAAGGTAAACGATCTTTGCCAACTAGTCTATACACACACACACACACCGAGCTCTACCCAAGTGACTTAGTTGCTTTCATTTAATGCCCAACGCTTTGTTATAAAATGCATACTTACCTCTAGACGGCTATCTCAGCGAAGTTAGCTGAAAATGTTGTAAATTTTACGATAACCCTTCATGGCTAAAATGTCACTAAGGTGCATTGACATTGCGTTTATGTTTGGCTCTCCGACTTTACATTTAAATGGCAATGTTATATAGAGCTCAAATGTTTATATTATCTTGCAAATACCCAAATATTTGTAAATAATCAATTCTATAAGATCAGCTTCTTCCACGACGAAGGGGTAACTACCCTAGCATATATATAGTATATTAGAAGATTTGAAAGTGCAAAAACTCTTTCTTCTACTGCCTGCATGCAGCTTTACAATACCCTCTATTTATCCAATTTTAACGGCCATCACAGGGTATTAAGTTCCTTAAGTTCCCATGTTGTATGATATACTGGTCCGATCCGCCCAACTTGGCCATATGTACTACTGCCTGCATGCAATTTTACAATACCCTCTATTTAACCAATTTTAACGGCTAGCACAGGGTATTAAGCACTTCAAATTTATAACGATGAAGGCAACATTATTTTTAATGCCATAATGACTCGGCATTCTTGCGGCTGCTTAAATGCTGCTGCATGCCAACGGCAGATGATTTAAATTGTTGCCTCTTACGTTTTAGATAAAAGAATGTTGGTTAGCCAAAGAAAGGCAGGCCGAAAAGATGAGGCGTATTATTACTAACGCTTTCATTTGGCCAAGCCAGACTTTTCTGTTCTACGCTTTAATATTTCAATTTGCTAAATATTCAGATGTAATTAAGATGTAATAGATAGATATTGATAAGTCGATTACCGATTATCTACCGATTATAAGGTGTCCGAATTAATATGTAAAAAAAATTAGAAAGTAAGAATATCTTTGGCACGCCGAAGATTTTATTCCCTAGCAGACATTTGCCTCTTGCATATACTTACATATATGAGAATCGTGATGCTCGCAAATCTTCTATTCTTCGATTCTTTAAACATTTCATGACATAATTAAAGCATCCTCTGCAAGGGTATAAAAAGGTTCATAGGACTCGTGTTATCTTGAAAAAACGTTTGCCTGTAATTTGTGATTTGTTTTTATGATTAAAAAAAAACTTAGACATGCATCGAGCTCTATTCTAGACATGTTTATAGCGCACCTGAAATACGTTGGAAAAGGAAAAAAAGAGAAACAATATTGTTTGTTTTTTGTAGTTTATATTTTCATATTTACATGTTTAAAAAATATTTTATACATCTTTTTTAATCAATTAAAAAATAATTGTTACGCGTTTATAAAATAAATATTTTGTTTTGAAATA